GTAGTGCTCACAGTATGTGCTAAGGATGATGCTCAGCTCCCACCACATCAAAGTTTAGCTTAATATCTGTTCAAATGGCTGAGTTATAGCTCATAACTCACACCTGGCTGTGTCGGCCATCTTGAATTGTGTTGACTCTGAGTGCAATTTGTTGTAAAAGTACATGCACTGATTGAAAGTTTATTTAAAGCCAATTATTTTTTGTTAACAGACAAAGTTTAATTCTATTGCTAACAGCAAAGTTCTACAAACGGAGTGGTTGATGAGATATTTTACTAACAGTATGAACAACTCACAGTTTCACGCTGCTTTTTGTCTTCGGCGGCGCGCGAAAACGAACATGAGAAATATTTCTGTAAAAAAAAAAATTTAAGCTTGCTTTTACATCTTCCAATTAAATTCTCATTTTCTTGCTTTTGCTCTGTAGAGGGAGCTGGAAATCCTCTTGTCTTGAGCAACCTTTGCTTTGGAGCTCCCTCTGCAGCAAAAGTGAGAAGGTGTGAAAAAGAAAGGATTATTTTTTGCATCAAAAACCAGTTTGACCACAGCCCTAAACTGCTCCTGTGGATGTCTGACATGCATTTCTTCTGAAGTGATGTACATTTAAGATTGGTGTGCGTTTTCGATGCAAAACACAAGTTATGCTTTAATGTTTGCACCACCTGTCATGTGTCCAGTGGTAGGTTTACGCCCCAACATGTCTGAGCAGAAAGGTGACTTCAGTGATAAAAAAAAAAAAGATGCACATCTTGAAGAGAGGAGAAGAAATTCAGGGAAATTTGGTTGCATCACAGAGCACGTCATTTCCTCCCTATGACAAATATGTGGTTTCTGTTTTTTAAAGAAGTTTTAAAGGAGCGTGATTATGACAAGTCCACACAATTTGACTGTGAGAAGCAGAGGAGAATGAATGGTCATGTAAAGAAAATGCATTTTCAACAATTTCTGGAAACAGCAGCAAGTAAGTCTCATTGCAATTATTGAAGTACATCTTTGAAAAGAGCATGAACTATTCCTGTATTTTTCTTTATTTAGTACTGTTGTAGATTATTTTTAGGGACTTTAGGGAAACTAAATGAAGTTTGTAGTTTCCTGCATGAGTGAAGCAGCTTGTTTAATGTTAATTGAATTTGAGCATAGTGTAATTAAATTAAATTATAAAACACCACCAGGTAGCCTTTTGGTCCCCTAGTCTGCGCGCTTTGTATGAGGAAGAGGTCGCTTTGGCTGGTTTTGTTGCACTTTTGGTTTTGAGAATGAACTTCTCTCTAACATGAGGTATTACCGTTACTGACCATTTCTGGTTTCTTCAGCGTTACTCTACTTCCTGCTGCTTCTGCCTGCTAATTCAACAAGAGGTGTGGCGGCAAGCCGAAACCATCATTGCGGGAAGGATCTGCAACCGACTATGAAGCTCACCAAACTCATCCAAAAGAAAACTGCTAATCTAACCAAAGAATATGTGAGTAGACCCATAAAACTGCCTGAACTCTTATGCGTTTGCCTAATATTTCACACATACAAAGAAAAGCACTCCAATATTTGAACTGAACAGTGTCGATCTTTTTGCAGATAGCTTCTCAAGGCGATGGTTTCCAGCAAGATTTCTGCAAGGCTTCAATGAGCGGCATCCCTGACCCCAACATCTCCGGGCTGGAGCCCTCAGAGAGGATAGCGAGCATCCACACACAACTCCAAGCCTTCCTCCCTCATTTGAAGCAAGTGCAGGAGCAGCAAGGAAACTTACAACCCCCCAAGAGCCAGCTTGTGGATCAGCTCGGCAGGGTTACAAAACAAAGTGGGATGCTAGCTAATCGTGTGGAGGCTTTTTATAAAAGCCTCTTCCCAAACCGGCCGCTACCAGATCCATCAGGTGGACCGACAACACTACCCTCACCGCAAAACGTCTTCCAGCAGAAGGTCTACGGCTGCGTGGTCCTGACCACCTACAAGAAGCTCCTGTCGAACATTCTGAACGAGCGAAAGACTCTGAAAAGCAAAGTCTGCAGAACGAGAAAGCAAACGAATGCAATGAACTTCTATAGATGACCTGAGGCTGGCCTTAGGCTGCACGTTCCTGCAGCACTTTACACATTCAGCTGATGAAAGACTTAAAGAGAAAAATGTATGAAGGTGGCAGGTACATCACTATTATGGAGCGTATTTATGATATTTATTATTTATTTCCTTGAGTGTTTCTAGTAGGAGAGAGGTCGTCTTCATGCAAGTTATTCAGTTTGTGTTTTCTCAGGTTCTTTGACGTGATTTGAAATTTCCTTCGTTGTATTGCGTCCGGTTGCATTAAAGAGAATCTGGAAGGAAACATGCAACACGGTCTTATGCGTTTGTTGCGCCCTGATGAAATAAAGACACGGTCATGCAACTTTTCACAAGTCTTTTATTTTTAACAAGCTTAAGAAATGTATCATGTGCTGTTTTCCACACCGAATCCTTCCATCAAGAGAGAAATCAGGAAGCTGCTGAGACGCTGACTGTGTGATATCAACTCTGAGTGACGCATGCGTTCAACACCCAGCTGCATCAGATTGGAAAGATTTCCTGTCTGGTCAGTCACAAGGTGTGTGTGTGTGTGTGTGTGTGTTTGTGTAGGGGTCAGATAACCGTAAAATATAGTTTGAACACCTGCATCGTTATATAGATGGACACAGTAGGGTGGGAAAAATGGAAATTCACTTGACATCCTCGATGTAGAGTTATCTGGCCACAGACAAACCATGAAGCCATGTCAGCAATATATAACGAGAGATTTCCACTGAAATGAAGCAATTTTAGTCAAACTTTCCTCACATCACAAGCCTTCAGGAAACTAGAAGTAGATGGGGGATTTATTCTAGGTCATGATTCAAGTTCCCTGTTTAGAACGTTGTTTTATTTAAAGCTCCAACGCAGAGGGCACATTAGGGCAACAGCTATTTTGTCTGGATTATTGTTTTAAATCAAACTTTAGAAATGAAGTTAGTTTTCAGTGTAAAACACCTGATTTATTTATTTGTTTATTTTAGATTAAAGCACCATACAACATTGATTCAGTTCATTTAAGTTTGGCTTTCTCCTCAGGTCTCACATTTCAATCCACTTAAGGTCTGGACTTTGACAATTACAGAATCACAATTCTCCTTTTCTGATCTGTTGTGTTTGGGTCCAGTTATTGTGTTTAGTCCAATCTTCAGCTGTAAGCGATGGTCACAGTTGTCTCTATACGAGTTCATGGCTGTAACTGCGAGATGCACAGGTCCCATGGCTGCAAATCATCACCCTTCCACCACCGTGCTTGACAGTTTATGCAAGGTATTTGACCCGATACGCTCTGGTTTTTGCAAAACATGTTGCTGTACATTATTACCAAACATCTCTACTTTTAACATATTAAGTATATTTGATCCCCAAGTTAGACTGACAAGACACGGATGTAAAAAACAAGAAAGAAAAAAAGTGATTTATTTACAATAGTGCAGGGAATGCTCTGGAAAGTTCTGGGCTGGAAGGGAAAAGAGGACAAGGCGAGTATGGATAGATTTGCCTTCTTGAAAAATAGAAACTGTACATGATAATTTCTTACTTCTGGTTAGTTTTACAGGTTGTGCTGGAGAGGAGGGAGAAATGTGATCGAAAAGGGATGAGTATTGTTGGTGAGGGGGAGAGGTTGAAGGAGCTCGGTAGTTTTTGATCCAGTTACAGGGCAAGGTCACAAGGAGCAAGGACATCTCAGAAGACTTCAGAGGAGCAGGACTTTAACGGACACAGGACACTCACAAGGTTAGTCAAAGTTTTGTTTCACAAGGAATAGGTTTTTACCATCATGTAAGTTACCTGAAGGTATCATGTCCAGCCTCAAACAAATGTCTGACCAGAGTTTAAGTACTCAACAAAGCAGTCTTCCAAATCAGGTGCAGGTGTGGAATGGTGGAGGATTGCAATGCTCAGCAGCTGTGAGGAAAGTGGTTATCAGGACAGTTAAAATAACTACGTTTAGAGAAAGAAGTAGAAGGAGGAACAATCACACCGGGACTCGGGAGAGAGCGGAGTGGTGACGTGGCTCGAAAAACAAACAAACAAATATATAGAAACATATCGCATTTGGAAAAGGCGGATTTGGGCATAAACTGGTATGTGAATGGTTCGGATGGAGGTGGAGATGGGAGGTGAGGAGGACATGGATTTTGAGGGGTGGACACCAGTGGGGAGAGGGAAAGGGAGAGGATGTGGAAGAAATAAAATAGATGAAGGAAAGGGAATAAGTGATACTCAAGGTAGTAAACGAGAACTGGAAGGGAGTAGTTCAGAAGAAGAAAGGACAGTTAGAAGGAAAGTTGTGAGGGAGGAATTTAAAATGATATTAAAACTTAAGAATGAAGAAGAACAAGATAACATCAGCCCCATTGTGGTGTCAAGAGAAATAAAAAAGAAAATTGGAGATGTTGAAATGGTAAAGATTTTGAGAGATGGAAACCTATTAGTAGTTTGTAAAAATGAAGAACAAAAGAATAAGGCTTTAAATGTGGATAATATTTGCAAAAAAAACTGTGTTGGAGAAGAAAATCATGGGAGAAAACAAAAAAATTAGAGGAGTGATTTATGGAATCCCTCTGGAAGAAGATCTTGATAAAATTAAGAGAAGTATTGTAGGTGGAAAAGTGAATACTTTGAAAAGATTATCAAAAACAATGAATGGAGAAAAAGTAGGAAGTTTGTCAATTCTCATTGAATTTGAAGGAATGGAGTTGCCAAAAAACATCAAAATAGGATATATTAATTTTCAGGTCAGACCCTATATCCCTCCACCACTCCGGTGTTTCAAATGCCAAAGGTATGGACACATAGCAGCAGTATGTAAAGGGAAACAGAGATGTCCAAAATGTGGTGAAGACCACAGATTTGAAGAATGTAAAGAAGAAGCACAAGAAAAATGTTGTAACTGTGGAGGGAAACATAGAGTTACGTATGGAGGATGTGAAGTAAGGAAGAAGGCAAAAGAAATCGTGCAGGTTAAAATGACTAAAAACATAAGCTATGCAGAAGCAGTTCAAAACGTGAAGGAACAGAAAACGAGAGAGATTGAACAAACAACGAGTCAAATTCTACAGCAAAGCAAAGCACAGTCCGAAGAAAATATTACAATATCAGTAGAAAAACTAATACTATTCGTAGCATATGTTATCAACTGCACTGACCAAGCCAAGCACAAAACTGAGAAGATCAAAATAATAGTGAGAGGAGCTGAAAAGTTCTTGGGGTTTAAAGAAGGATCATGGGAGAACATAAACAAAAAGTTGGAGGTAAATGGGAGACCAGGACCAGAAGGTGAAAATAGTACATGTTAATATTACAATGGAATGCAAGAAGTTTAATTGCTAACGGACAGGAACTTAAAGGTTATATTGACAGTCTTGAAGAACAACCAGAAATTATTTGTGTTCAGGAAACATGGTTAAAAACAACATTAGATTTTGTGATTAAAGGATATGATAGTGTAAGAAGAGATCGACAGGAGGGAAGTGGAGGAGGATGTGGAATATTTATAAAGCAAGTGATACAATATCAGGTTTTAGGGAAAGGGAAAGAACTATAAGAACAGGGATGGAATCCGTTATTGATTTAACAATTGTCTCAAATGTTTTAGCTGGTATTTGTGAGTGGTTCATTGATAAAAATTCAACAATAGGTAGTGATCACTATCCCATTACAATAAGAGTAGGATTAACTTTAAATAATAAGAATATAAAACTCGGAAAGAAATTTAACTTTAATAAGGCAGATTGGATTAAATTTAGATATTTAGAGTCAAATAAACTTAGAAAATGTAGATATGAGAATGGATATAAATGATGTAAACTTAAACATTTGTAAGATAATAATAGAAGCAGCAGATCATTCAATAAAGAAAGGAGAGCGTAAAAATGATAAGAAAATGGTACCATGGTGAACAAATGAATGTAAAGAAGCAATAAAGTTAAGAAATAAAGCATTTAAGGTACTAAAAGGTAATCCAATTTATAATAATTTAATTGATTATAAAAGAAAACAAGCAATGGTAAGGAGAACTATTAAGAATGCAAAAAGAGAATATTGGAGAAATTTTTGTAGTACAATAAGGAAAGAAACAAAAATTGGAAAAATTTGGAAAATAATTAAAAGAATGAATGGCATAAAGAGAGAGTTTGAATATCCCATATTAAAAATAGATAATACAAATATAATAAGAGATGAAGATAAAATTGAAATATTGGCAAGAACATTTAGTAAGATTCATAGTTCAAATAATATTAGTGAAGAGGGAGGAAAAGGAAGAGAAAATACAAAACTTAAATATAAAGATTTATTACAGAGTGTTGAAGAAACAAATAATTTGTTGAATGCTGAGTTTACAAAAGCCGAATTGAATTATGCACTTAAAAATACAAAAAATACAGCACCAGGTAAAGATCAAATTTGTTATAGAATGATAAGTCAACTCAGTGAAAAATCTAAAGATATAATATTACAATTATATAATAAAATTTGGGAGGAGGGAAAATTACCGCAGAACTGGAAGGAATCAATTATAGTACCAATAGCTAAACCAGGAAAAGATAACTCAAACCCAGAAAACTACAGACCAATAGCTTTAACATCAAATCTATGTAAAATAATGGAAAAAATGATTAATAATAGACTAGTATATTATTTAAATAATAAAGGGTATATGTCTAAATATCAAAGTGGTTTCCAAAAAGGGAGGAGTACTAATGATCCAATGCTATGTCTAGAGCACGAAATTAGAAGAGCACAAGTAAATAAAGAAAGTGTAGTGGCAGTATTTTTCGATATAGAAAAAGCATATATGATGTGGGTTGAGGGATTATTAATTAAATTATACAAGTCGGGCATTAAAGGGAAAATGTTTAAATGGATTAAGGACCTTTTAACAAATAGGAAAATACAAGTTAGAATTGGTGACGTAATCTCAGGAAAATATATAGTAGAAAATGGAACTCCGCAGGGGAGTATTATTAGTCCATTATTGTTCTCAATTATGATAAATGATGTATTTAAAGATACTGGAAAAGAAATGGGTTGTTCACTTTTTGCAGATGACGGAGCTGTTTGGAAAAGAGGGAAAAACATAGTTTTTATTGTTAAAAAATTACAAGAGGTTATTATTAAAATAGAGAAATGGGCGTTGCAATGGGGATTTAAGTTTTCAGTTGAAAAAACAAAAATAATGATATTTACTCAGAAAAAAATAAACAAGGAAATAAAATTAAAATTATATAATCAAGAATTAGAGCAAGTAAAGTGTATAAAATATTTAGGGCTATGGTTTGATGAAAAATTAAAATGGAATATACATATTCAAAAAGTTGTTGATAAATGTAAGAAAATTTTAAATATTTTGAGGCGCTTGGCTGGCAGTGACTGGGGAGCAGATAGGCAATCATTAAAACAGATTTACACAGGTATGATAAGATCTAACATAGACTTTGGTTGTTTAGTTTATGGTTCAGCAGCTAAAACACATCTGGATAAATTAGACAGTATTCAGCATCAGGCATTAAGATTATGTACCGGAGCATTTAAAACCACACCAACGGCAGCAATAGAGGTAGAAATGGGAGAAATGCCGTTGGATTTAAGAAGAACAAAATTAGAAAAAAATTATTGGTTAAATTTACAAGGCAATAACCTTGAGCATCCAACTTGGGAAATTTTAAATCCATGTTGGGAAAAAAACAAGAAAGAAATGAGGAGTTTTGGGTGGACAATTGAAAATAAAATAAAAGAATTTAAAATGAATAGTTTAGAAATTAGTCAAACAACACCAACATCAATAATTCCACCTTGGATACTACCAGAAGCAAAAGTAGATATGTCAATAATGGAAAAGAAACAAGACAAATCTCACATTGTAGATAGTTATTCAGTACAATTATATTTAAACAATTATTATCAATATATTCAAATCTACACAGATGCATCAAAAATAACTGAAAAAATAGGAATAGCTTTTGTAGTACCAGAATTCAATATAAAAATAGGAAAACGAATTACAGATGGATTATCAGTATACACAGGAGAAATGTTGGCAATATTATTAGCTTTACAGTGGGTGGAAGACATAAAACCATTAAAAACAATAATATGTCAGATTCAGGCTCTGCATTATTAAGTTTAAAATATAATCATTCAGATAGTAGGACGGACATTTTATTAGAAATACTTCATACATTATTCAGAATACAAAATATGGGTTTAATAGTTATATTTGTGTGGGTTCCAGCACATATTGGATAAAATGGCAAAGAGGGCAATTCAGAATAATATTAGTTTTACAGTTAAAACAAGTAAATCAGAGGGGAAGAGTATTGTTCAACAAAAACTGATGAAAGAATGGCAAAAAAGGTGGGATGAAGGAAAAACAGGAAGATGGTTTTATAAAATTCAGAAGATTGTAGGGGGAAGAAGAAATGGAAGAAGAAATAGAAAGGAGGAAAGAGTGATAACAAGGTTGAGACTTGGACATACAGGACTTAATTATACACTTTTTAAAATCCAAAAGCATAATACTGGCAAATGTGATCACTGTGGAAAATATGAAACAATAGAACATGTAATATTAGAATGTCGTAAATATGAAAAAGAGAGAAGATATATGAGGAGAGAGATTGAAAGTATAAAGGAAAAGGTTAATTTATTAGATATTTTGAGGAAGAATTTGGGGAGTAAACATATACAAATAGTTGTTCGATTTTTAAAGAAAACAAAATTATTTCATAGAATTTGATTATAGTAGGAGTGTTTGTGAAAGCGACAGAAATAGATATAGACAAATAGCCCATCTCGAACCACACTCGATACCAGTAAGTGGCGGTAATGCTACTAACAGTTTGTTGCCAACCGCCAGTAAAACCAACAAGAAGAAGAAGAAAGAAGTAGAAGAGAGGAGGTGATACTTATGAGATTGAGGGTAGGACACACATTAATTAATGACACAATGTTCATGATGGGGAAAAGAAATAACAATAGATGCGAGGAATGTGGGGAAACAGAAAGTGTGGAACATGTATTGATGGAATGCGTTAAATATACGGAAGAAAGGGAGAGACTGAAAAGAAAAGTCAAAGATACAGGGAGAGCTTGGAGTTTAGGAGGGATTTTAGGAAATGAAGGGGAGAAGGATAAGATAAAAGATGTCAGAAAAGCGTTGGTTACATACTTGAAAAACATTAATATAAAAAGCAGAATTTAGGGACAGAGGTTATGAGTTGCACACTCTTGCTCAGTAGGTGGCGGTATGCACCTGAAAGTTGTTTGCAATCCGCCAATAAATTAAAAGAAGAAGAAGAAGAAGAAGTGGTTATCTGGAAATCTATGAATTCACAACTTTGGTCTCGTTTGTCCAAAAGATGTTGTTAGTAAACTCAATCAGAATTAACTCTACAAACTAAAATGTTAACATTTATTTTTTTTTAGAGAAAGGACAGTCTTAGAGCCCTCTCAAACAAGCCTTGTTCATTTGTTTTCTACATGTACTGTCCTGAACTTTAACTTACCGAGTTCTGTAGAGTCTGAAATGTACAACACCAAACTTTTTGTAGCTGCTGTAACAAAATCACCGCACATCCTGTAACAACACATTAGAAAACAAACCAGAAGATGTTCTCACAAAGAACTACTCACTAAAACTGTGTTTTATTTAGGCAGCCACCTATTTTATTCATCCACTTTTTCCTTTTTGTGTCAAGGGGCAGCTGGTGCCCATGTCCAGCAGTCACTGAGTGGCGAGGTACACCTTGGACAGGTTGCACGTCCATCACAGACAGCTTTGAAAAAACTGATGTAAACTGAATCATCACTCTAAAAGTTAATATTTTAAGCAGCTTATTATGATGAACCGCAGTTAAGTTCAAAACACAATATTTTTTAAAGACAAACCTAATAGATTTAAAGATTTGTTAACTTGCTGTTTTCTGGTTGATTCTGTAAGGAGCAGCATTTTTCCAGAGAGTGAAACAAACACCTGACGTGATATAAAATGATCGCCAGATAAATGTGTCGCCTTTTGTCTCCTTATAATGGCATCAATTACATCAGTGAGCCACATGAATGAGTTTTATTTTACAGAACAGAACAGGATGTAAAACATGCACACAGTTACAAAACAAGATGGTGGAATAAAGCAAATTCATGAAAAATAAGTCATGCTTGTTGAAAACCCTTACATAGTGCTATATTATTAAAAATATCTGTTGTCATTGAAGCATCAATATGTTGAAGTTTAAAATTATTTGTTTTGACCTGTAGGGGGCAGTATATTCCATTAAATACTTTCATGACGTAACCAAAATAAAATGGCATTATATAAAATAATGAAAAGTCTCACATTTCTGACGTTTAGTTCTCGTTTTTAAATAATTTCAGATGTTTTAGCTTTTCCTTGATTGTGACAGTGAAGCTCAAGATGTATGAATAAAAGGAAGACGAGGATGACAACATGCCCAGTCATTGTGGTTATAGAATTTGGTATAAAGTTCATTTACTTACTTCCCTTTTTTGACTTTCATTTTGTTTTCCCTTATTTGTTTTCCACTTTCTTAAGATAGTATGAAACTCACCATTATTGTTTGCTAACACTTTTATTTCATGGTCTGAAATAATAATAATATTAATAATAATTTGCTGCCAAGTTTGTCTTTTTCTTTGAAGCTGATGAGGAATTATTTCCATTAGTCATTCTTTTTCATCAGTATGACGACTTTACTGATTAACATCTACATCATCCGTCCAAATGGTGTTAATCATGTAGTTGGGCTTCCCTTCTAACCACCGCATTTAACTCTGATGGATAAAAATAATCATCTGGTGTGAAACTACAATAGTTTGCCACATCATCTACACAAATTTGGAGCAAACGAGTTTAGCCTTGAAGAATTTACAGTGACGTTATTTCCTTTTTAATAAGAAGTGGACCAACTGAAGTCTGGTTTGCAGGTTCTTTTATTGTGCAAATGCAGGGTGCAGAGCATGCACAAAGTTCTGACGAAAAAAAATTATGGTCTTTGCAAAACTTTGTCATTGGTCTATGAAATTTATATTAATAACATCTATTCTTCAAGCATAAATGCACATGCACCGTAGTTTATACATTAATTCAGTGATAAACATTGCTTGCAAAAGAAAAAAAAACAGTTCCTGATATTTTCATGTTGCATGTTTCCTTTAGATTTGCATAGTTGCTGGAAGTTTAGCAAGGCCTAAAGTCAATGTCAACAACAAACTACAGAAAAACAAATGTTTAGATAATAAAGGCATAGCTGCAATTTCCGAGGCTTCCTAAAAGTGATTGCATATCTTACTGTCATGCCTCACTTACACAGGGTCATCGCGTCCATGTTTAAAAAGCGAATGCTCATTTTTGATTCAATCTCAAAGCCATCCAGCAGCTGCAAAACCCAGAAAAACAAAAGAAGCAGTTTTACATTATTTAAGTCTTTTCAAATCTTTAAATCTTGTCCGATATCTAGTATAATGATTTACTAAAACACAATTTAAAGTATGGCACAATGCTAAGGGTTTCAAACATCCTTGTTGTTATTTTATGTTTTTGTAATGTGGTCTTGATCAGCAGTTCTGAATGTTTTTCCAAGTGTTTCTTTGGACTCGGCTGCTTTTTTAACTCATTTTCTATCCAGAACTTTTATTTCACTGTGACACCATATGGTTCATATGGTTATGGGTAACACCATTCTGGTATTGTTGCACCATCTTTCTGCGCAACAACGGTGGAATTGGTGATCCTCTTACCATCTTAGCTTCTGAGAGACTCTTACACGCTGAGAAGCTCTTTTTATACCCAATCATGTTGTCAATTGACCTAATTAGTGTTACTTGGTCTTCCAGCTGTTCATTATATGCTCAATTTCCTTTTTCCAGCCACTTATTGCTACTTGTCCCAACTTTTTTGGGAGTTGTTGACATTGTGAAATTTTGAATCAACATATATTTCCTTTAAAATGTTACATTTACTCAGATTAAACTTTTGATCTGTCATCTATGTTATATTATGAATAAAATATTGACATTTGCCATCTCCACATCATTGCATTCAGTTTTTATTCACAATTTGTTTAGTGTCCCAATTTTTTTGGAATCCGGTTTTTAGATCTAGGAAAAAAATATCGCTATTGGTATCGGTTATCGGCCAAATAATTTTTAACATATATGCATATTGGATATCGGCCAAAAATCTAAGATCGTGCAACCCTAAGTCAGACACTGAAAAATAGTGAAAAAGTCTATATACTTCATACTATATTTAACTCTGTGTAAACTATAATATTAAATATTTGGTCAAATTATGCATTCTGTGTACTGACCTTGAGAAAATGTTCGAATGTGATTCCTTCATAAAATTCGTCAGGTTCCTGTGTGGCAGGGAGAAAACATTTCTGAGTCAGTCCAGACAATGAATGAATTAAACTTATTTTTATTAAGAGACAGCAGGTTTGAATACCATGTGACCCACTGAAACACTGGCCACTTCCAGCATGGCTGCGTCAGCAATGCTTTTGGCCGTTTCCTTCCCCAGAGCTCCACTGCGAGACAAAAGCTCCTCCACCACCTGGATGGATGTGAACAACAACTGAACTAAAACGCTTTAAGGGTTTAAAGGCTTAAATCACAGATTTCCTAAAAATGATTAATGGGACAGAGCCTCTGAGCTGCAAAATATTTATGTTTTAAAAACATGAACGCTTTGTCTTTTCCAAGCTCACATGTCTGTACTCTTCAAGCGTTATGGTCCCATCGTTGTCTGTGTCGTGCATGTTGAATAAAACTGCAGGAACACACACAGATTTCCCGTTAAGGACAGTTGTTCAGCCACAGATAACATGAAACGTGTTCATGGAATTGATTTTGAGACACACATCGGAGTTTGTCTCTCCGGACGTTCTCCCTCTGTTCCTCGGTCACGCGCTGGGACGGAGGCCTGAAATGAGACATGACCACCAGGAACGCCTCAAAGCCGATCTCATCAACTCTGCCCGCTCCACCTTCGGTGAAGTTTCTGCATAAACACACAGAAAAGACACCACAGTGAAAACATGCACTGCTGACTTCTGTAAAGTTTTTCCCCTAAAAGTTCACATGACTGTTTTGGGTGTTCTTTATTTTTTATGGCTATTATTCAAATTTCTTGACTTGTTTTGTTTAAATATAAAAATAAATTATTTCCATGTGCATCAAAACTTTTCAATTTCTGAAATTTACAATAAACTTAAACATGTAGAATGAAGAACAACTGTTGGACACGTTTGGAACTGCGCGCATGGTGGAACATAATACACGACTTACCACTGAATACTAATAATGTCATAATAATGGATGATTTCAATATTCATGTAAATGTTGAAAGTGATATCTTAAGCATAACCTTAATTTAATAGTCAATTGGTTTTACCCAACATGTCCACAAACCTACTCATTCTCATCATCACACTCTTGATCTGGTTCTGACATATGGGAAATGGAGATTCAGTGCAAGCTGCTGGCTTCCTTGAGATGACTTCTGCTGTGACTTGGCACTATATAAATAATCTGAATTGAATTGAATTAATAAAGACTTTTAATTAATCATTATAGAGTTGTGTTTTGTGAGTTAATAGATGATGTCCAACTTAATTAGAAACTAAAAGATCACATGTTTATGATTCAAAAGTCACACAAGTCTAAGTCAAAGTTCACTCAAATATTTAATTTTACTACAGATATTTGTGTTGTCAGTTCTCATAAGAATGCCTTGCTTAAAAACAGACAATCTTCAAGGATAGTTTGATTTCTCCAGACTCACTGGCCTCAAAAATACCAAATTAATATGGACATGTTCAGAAAATGTGTAGACCCCATAATAGGTTCAACCTTCTGTAAATCGAGAGGAGCATTTTAGCATCTTCAGTGTTTTTGCTTCATTAACAATTTTTTAATCAAGTTACCCAAGAACATTCCATTACAAAAGCTGGATTTTGAACTCCAAATTCTGGTCCCTAATACCCAGACAGATGTGAACATTTTTTTTTTATCCAACCACAGCACAGATCAGTGCCCCCTCTCTACTTTGCTTAATCCTAAATGACATCTAGCCCAGAAAACATGACAATTGACAGTCTTTTTCAAAAGTTCTCCTTGGTAAGCTTAAGATTTCTATAAAACAGTGTCCGTTTGTGATGCAAACAGTTCAGAAATGCAATCAGTGCTCCTCATCAGCATCTGATTTGTTGTCTCAATAAACCAATAGACTTTTGGTTGCATTAAAAATTTCCAAACAAAGCCATGAGTATTTGTTATTTCAGAGTTATAGATAAAAAAGGGATTGACTACATTACCTTTTATCAAAGAAAGCCTCTATGATTTGTGCCCGGATCGGATTGCATGCTAGATCTGGGATCTCGTTGAAATGATGTCTCCTGCAAAGGGAAAAATACTTATATGTACATTGTGATGATATATGAGATACTAACTGTCACATTGTTATATGAGCAGAAATGAAGCCTGTTCAGTGGGTTAGAGTTCAACTGTAATGCTGATTTCCTTTAAATATTCTTTGTACAACAAGAAATGAAACAGAACACCTGCCACAGATTTTATTTCACACCTTTTAGTGGTTAAAAAATCTAAAAGGTTCAGCTTACCGTAAAATATCTTCATTGTGACTCAGCTGTTTGAATCTTTTGTGCAGGACTCCAATCTGCTCAAAAGAAACTAACAGGGAAAATGTCAAATAGAACAATACTTAATGGTATAAACTTGCAAAAAGTTAAATAAAATCAAGCCAAGTTGCATTAGATCACAGTCATGGGGGAACAAAAGTCTAACCTCAAGACACACCAGAACACACAACAGATTCTCTCATGTCATTTATTAAACAACACACACAGGTGTGCGTTAACACAGTGCCAAGATGGAAAGACATCAGCAATAACCACAGAGAAGCAAATATTGCTGCTTATCAAACTGGGAAGAGTTAAACACTTCCAAACTATTCAGAGTCCATTATTCTGTAGTCAGATTGCAATGTAAAATGTTAAATGTTCATGAGTGTCAATACGTACGGCTGGATTAAAAGGACAAAGTCTCTTTTAGTTTACACAGAACATGGCAGCACCATAAATCTGCATCTGAATGAACCACAAGATTTCTGCAACAATGTCCTATGAACAGATGTGGCTAAAGTAGAGATGTTTACCCACAATGCACAGCATCATGTTTGGTAAATACCAAAGTCAGAATATCAGCACCTCAAAACAGTTTTAATGCACAAGACCATTTAGGCCAGTTTTGCAGCAGCAGGACCTCGGCAACTCACAGTTATTGAGTCAATCATGAACTATCTGTAGACAAAATGTTTCTAGAGTTGAATATGAAGCTGTCTGTCCAACAAGCTGAAGCTCAAACTAAACTGTATCATGATGCAACAAGACAATGACCCTAAACACAGCAGCAAATCTAATGAATGTCTAAAATAAAAAGAACCAAAGTGTTGCAACCACTCAAAAGTACAGACCTCAGCTCGACTGAAATGTTCCAGAAACCTGAACAAAACGAAGCAATGTTGAAAAAATGGTGGGTCAAAATTGAATAATAATTTTAAAAAATAATAATTGTACTTCATTTTTATTCAACAAATAATAACAGTGGAATTTGTTGTGTGTTTTTGTACACCTGAGGTTAAATTTGAACAATTTTAGAAGCTGATGAAGACCAGAACATTTGTATCCTGTCCTGATAACTAAACACTTAAAAAATGAAGGTGGAAGGTGTCGACCTTTGGAGGGTGGATGTTTTTTTTTTAATTCCTGTGACTAACTTTAGTGAAGGTTTTCATGGCAGTGAATTTGTTTATTCATATCATATGCAAAGCTCTTTAGTTTCTGTGTCTACCACACTCAACTCATCTGAGGCTACAGGTTGTCAGAGCAAAACTATAAGGTCACATAAATAATAAAGCACCAATAAACATCTATTATTAACAACACACCTCTTCAAAGAGGAGGTACAGTTACACTTCCCTTAACTTTCACAGTAAATTATTTATAGCCACTGCGCCAAACAGACTGATTTATAGTCTGCATGGGTTTAGTTGCTCCTTAAAGACACAGTGACCTGTTTTTTTTTTTTGTTTTGTTTTAATAAGTAAAAACAGCTTTCTTCAAATATATTCCTTAATTACAGTTTGAATTAAATGTTATTTTTATTGCAAGTAGCTTTTGTAAACATGCTTTATCCTTATTTTAAATCCAAAACCACCAATAATGAGTACTTACAGCCAGTTTTTTCCACAAGATCAATATATTCTGGGCGTCCCTGAGAGGACTGTAGTGCTCCCATAGCTGCCAAAAAAGCCTCCTGTCTGAGTTTTGAAGAGACTAAAAAGAGCTGTGCTCCACAGAGGATCATGTTTCAGAATAATCCATGTCCGCACGACTTTTTGTTGTGTTAGAGTGTGCAGCTCGCACCTGTTTTCCTCCTCATCCTCTCTGCTCAAAGAGCAGGCCACTTCCGCAACAACCAGCCTGACGACACGTTTCAACATACAGGATGACACTTTATTCCTTTAGGGTTTTAGTCACAGCCTGCAACAGCTCACTGAGACTTGTTGCTTTAGTATATGTGAAGTGGAAAAACACACAGGCAGAAGGTTCTCAAGATTCAGTGTAACATGTGGTAATTACTGGATTAATTTCTACAAGTTTGATCATATAAGTCATCTGTTGTGTCTTTTAATCTATTGTAAGCCCTTAGGATATCCAAGATCACTTGGAGTGTTAAGAATAGGAATACAAGACATATCAAGTACAAATTTAATCAATAAATGCATGAAAAGGATAATTTTTTTTCATTTAATGTAGCCATGAATACATAGTTGCACAAATGATTATTAAGAACTTTTGGTTATGTTCTGTATATTTGCATGAATTAATTGTTTTGGTTTAATTTCAGCCCTATTTTGCTCCCGTTAGCTCACAAGTTCTCAAAACTCATCCATACCAAAAGCTATAACAGAAACATTTTTAGATTTTTTAAAATTATATTACCACATATTTTTCAACACAAATAAAATACATGCTGTCAATTATTGTAATTATTTTATTAGATATGTAAGGAGACTCCTTTGCCTAAAGGTAGGTCTGCATCTGACTGGAGGTACCTGATTGTTAGATGTATTATGAAAACGTTTATAACAAATGTTAAAACTCAACATTAAAGTAAATGTAATTTGTCTTGTTGCACCTTCTACCTACTGACTTCTTGCAACTGAAAGTAAGCTGAGGTGTTTGTGAAAGTTTGAATTCAGAACCGAATACCCTGCTTCTATTAAAAAAATTGTATCGCAAATGCATCAACTTTGAGCTCCCTGCAGTGCTGACAGCTTCAGATGACAAAAAACAAACAAACACTTTAATCACTTGCAGCATTTAAATGAAACTGACAGAGAATTTAATGTTCCTCTAATTATAAAGTGCATAAAACCTTGAATTGCTGCTGCACTGGTTAAACCCATCTAACCTCTGATGCAATAAACCACCATTCAGTTAACTGTTGGCAGCAGGTTTTGGCTCTGTTTGAGTCACATAAGAGATTATTTCTCAGATTAAACCTATAGAAAAAAATTGTTTGGGTTTTTTGTTGATAGGGTTTATGAAGAAATTATTGTGAGTGATGATGGCTGATAAACTCAACTGCAGACCACTAAGTAAAAAAAAAAAAAACATTTTATTTTGATCAGACTTAGGCAGATCTGCACAGACAGAGTTAAAAAAAACTGGAAAGTAACAGAAAAAAAACAGTCTTGACATGAGTACACAACTAACTCAGACAAAAGATCAAATGAGGGAAAATCCTAATCCAAAACTTAAAATCAACAATCTGGTCCAACATAAAATGAACAAAATGTATTTAAACCTTGAGACTATGACAGAAACTGTCATTAAAAAAATTGTTAAAATTTGGCATTTATGATCATGTTTCACAAAATATCCTCTTACAACACCAACAAAATCTATTTATAATTTAAATATCAGTTTTAAAAAGTGTAAAACAAAACACATGTATTTATTGCAAAACAAAAATGAAGGGAAAAAGGCACGTTTTGAATAAAAGCTTGCAGTATTAAAATATACCACATGGGGGCAGCAGCAACAAAGGAACAAAATATGGTTATCATAATAAAACAAAATGATCTTTGATGGGGAGTTTGTTTCCATCTGTGAAATGATAAATATACAGTACTGATGTGTGTGTGTGTTAGTGTGCACGTGCACGCACGCATTTGTTTACGTTACATTTGGAGACTTGAAAAAGCTTACAAGTTTGTCTCTAAACCATTCTGAAAGTGGTGTCCCCTAAGGTGGGTGGTTGAAATATGCGCCCCCAATGTGGACGTAAGCAAGTTATGTGTATGTGTATGTGCATGTGCATGTGCATGTGTGTGTGTGTGTGTGTTTACTCTCAGCAGCTCATCGAGTAACATTTATGGGTCCATTACTTCTTGTTCACGCCACATCAGTTGAGTTGAATGCCTTGGTAATCACAGAGGAATCATTTTTCCGCACGGTGCCTGTATCCCATCCCTAACAGTGTTTTTTTTTTCTGTTTATAAAATTGCCGTGCTGCTTCATTTGTACCTGTTGCATCCTCTCTTCACATTCAGTCTCTGTCTTTTCTGAGGGTGACTCAACAGGCATCTTATGGACGATAGCAGCTCAAATTGAACTCATTAAAATTCTTCCTCCATGTTCTGCATTTATTTCACAAGACGCCATTGGACACCAGTCTTTTGCATCCTTAATGACAGTGATGCCAAATGAAGGCTCTTGTATGAATTATTCCTTTATTCCATCTTTTCATTTATCCAGGTCACTCTAACAGACCCACTGAGGCCGCCCGCCTTTCTTTCAGACCCCAATCTATCATTCTTAATGTGGTCACACAGTAGGACATTGTTAGATCCTGAGCTTTTAAGTCCTGCTACTTAATTATTGAGTTAATGAAAGTTGAGAAAAGAACATTTAAAAACTGGTTATTCACCAGAGCTGTATACGCTGTTAGTTTCGGCCAAACCCTTCTTTTCAACATATAGTACTATAATAACAACTCATAAACCAACATGCCCCATCATTCTGACATACTGTTTCCCAGTTCTTTCATTGGATCACTCATCAAGCTGAGTAAAGCTACTCTGAATATGCTAACTCTATAAGCAGAAATAGACGTGGCCAAATTACTCCTAGAATTTCAAAAATATGTGTGCTCTAAAATCTGTGCAACACATTTTCATTTCAGGCTGTTCTGGTTGTAGAGGTGTTTATTCTTTTTATGTTAATAAAACACAATCATCTGTGGATTATTGCTGTTTGCATATATTTATGTTTAACCAGAAAAGAGTTGCATGGACCAAAAACTTCAATTAAATGTAAATAAAAGACATATAATGCAGGAAAAATATAATCTAATTATAAAATATACAGCACAAACCTTCAAGTGCTTTGCACAAAAATTACAGCATTTGTGCAGTTTGTTGGTTATTCAAATGACTTCAAAAGAAATCTTAAGGTTTATCCTTGAGAGTAGATAAAGATTTAAAGTTACAAAAGTAGAGTTCCTCAAAATGGGGGCTCTATGGAGAACGTCCAACCCAGAGTTGCAAACAGGAACCAGGATCTGACTTGTCAGGAAGGTTCTGTAAGTCTGTGAAATGTTTGGAGGCAAGATCATTTAAGGCCTTAAAGGTGAGGAGTGTGATTTTAAAATCAATACAGAAACTTACACTAAGAGGGTGAGCAGAGATGATAGCACACGGGAAATGTTTTTGTGCCATTATGTTCTAATACAGAGTCCAATTTGGATGAGACCCCGACTGACACCTGAAAAAGATGCATCACAGCAATCAAAGCAGAAATTGTGCATGACTGGGAGTCAGTGGACAGAAGAAACAACCTGATTATTGGGATTTAGTCTTCTACACATTGACCGACTCAGACTTAAAACAATAAGACACTGACACATGTGGACACCAGTACATTTTACAAACTTTAATAGAAAAAAAAACTGCTGCAGAGGTGATGTTTGTACAAAACTTGTTCATATGAAACTTGACAAAAATTGTGGTAAAAATATCACACAGTAATCTACATTTTATGATGGCTGACATTGAAATTCACAGGTTTGTTGCAGCCGTGGTGATGTTTCTTCACTACAGCCAGTAGTAGTGGACCCCAAGACACTTACTGTATGCTCTGTAACAGTAATGACACCTTTGTTCATTCATTTGTTATGTATTTACCCTGATGCTGTTAGACTCATGAATCTCTAATCAGAATTATCACTGTGAAAAAAAAATCACTGTAACGCCACTTGATTGTTGATATGTGCTGCTAATTATTCATGCTGCTGATCTTATGCTGCCCATTTATTTCATGTTGCTGTGTTCATTCGTCCTCATCTGCTCACACAGACTCATGTTAGTGCTGCTATTGTTCGGCGTATTGTTCTTGTACTTTTAGTGATTAGTGTATTCTTAATTTAGCGTATTTTTTTGTTCATATCTTAGATTTTATTACTGTTTTTCTTTACAATTTAAACTTTTGTTGGATGTAACTGGCACCCTGTGTACACAATTTCGTTCCACCACATGTACCACATGAGGTGCGAATGACAATAAAGAAAGCTTGACAAAGAGGTTTCCCATTTTCAAAAATCCACTTTTTTGTCAATAAATGTAACCTACTGTTTCTTGGAAAACTGTTTTATCCATTCTTTGTTATGTGCATCAACAACATTAGTGAGTGACAATTTTAGACCCTGCAATATTTGCTCCCTTTGCCAGGGTGATATTTCAACCTTGATTAATACAATAAAATAAAAATTGATCTAGTTATCAATTGTTTCAACCTTGACATGTTTTTTTTTTCATTGTTTTAAGGTTATTTGCTTTCGTTCATGTAGCTGAAAAACTGTTATAACCTCAAAAACATCCATCCATCCATCCATTTTCTTTGCCCGCTTATTCCATTTTGGGTCACGGGGGTCGCTGGTGCCCATGTCCAGCAATCACTGTGCGAGGGGCGGGGTACACCCTGGACGGGTCGCAAGTCCATCACAGGGCCACATAGAGACAAACGAGACAAACAAACATTCACTCTCTCACTCACACCTAGGGACAATTTAGAGTTACCAATCAGCCTAACATGCATGTTTTTTGGACTGTGGGAGGAAACCGGAGTACCCGGAGAAAACCCACGCATGCACGGAGAGAACATGCAAACTCCACCCAGAAAGGCCCCTGGACCGGGGTTTGAACCAGGGACCTGCTCGCTGAGAGGCAGCAGCTCTACCAGTTGCGCCACCGTGCTGCCCCCTCAAAAACATGTGAAATGTTATTTAATTGTCCACATAATAATGATCTTCGTGCATTGTGTAGGATAGGATGTCAGTAGTTGAACAAATAAGAGCATTTTCATTTCTGTTCTTCT